TACCTGATGACCTGCACTCGACCTGACCTTGCATACCCTCTTAGCATCCTTGCACGCTATGTCGCTCCTGGTCGTCACCGGAAGGAGCACATGGATGCCGCTAAGAGGGTGTTGCGTTACTTGTGCAGTACGTCGGGCATGGGGCTAGTGCTTGGAGGACGAGACCGAGTTGTACTCACTGGGCACTCAGACGCTTCTTGGGCTGACGACCAGGCTACTCAGCGGTCGTCTCAGGGTTACACCTTCAGCCTTGGCTCTGGTTCTGTTTCTTGGCGTTCTACACGCTCGTCATCCGTTCTCAGCTCCAGTTGTGAGGCTGAGATCTACGCCACAGCCATGGCTGCACAGGAGTTACGCTGGCTCACCTACCTGCTGACCGACTTGGGAGAGCGGCCTCGTTCTCCTCCAGTGCTGTACGTCGACAACAAGGCTACCATTGCCTTGTGTGAGGAGCACAGACTGGAGCACAGAACGAAGCATATCGCTCTACGGTACTTCCTTGCTCGAGAGCTGCAGCAGCGTGGTCAGCTTCGTCTGCGTTACGTGGCCACTCGGGCCAACACTGCTGATGTGTTCACCAAGGCGCTTCAGCCTTGTGACCATCAGCGCTTCTGTATTGTTCTAGGCCTCGTGCCTACTGTGCCTCACTTGCTTACTTCTTGACTCTGTTTGTACTGTGATCTCTATATATATACCTGCATACTTACACTTGCTAGGTTGTGCTCACTGTACCCCTTGCTATATTATTAAACTGCATGTGAACTGGTCGTGTGACCACTTGCTTGTGCTCGGAATTTGTGTGGTTTCCTCGAGATCCACCCTGAGCTTGCTTTGCCCTTCCTGACTGGTCTTGTGACCACTACTTGCTCTGGCTATCCCCCATTTCGCCTATGGGGGTGTGTCAAAACATATGCATAATTGTATCTAGGCTATATTGGGGCTAGCCTTAGGGGGTACACAAAAATAGTCTCGACACTCTAGTCTTGTACCCCAATCTTCACCTAATCATCACTTTTCTCGTTCCCTAGCTAGTGATTCTAACAAGTAGGACTTAGCGAAGGATCGCTCAGGGTTGATCGTAGGGTAATGTCAAACTTATATGCTGCTTATTGTATAGGCTATAGTGGGGTAGCCCATATGGGCAACAACCCAATTAGGGTTTGCTACTTGTACCCATCTTTCTGCTAGTTCATTTCATTCTCGTTCGTTATCCTGACATGGTTTCAGAGCAGGTCCTCTCCTAGGACCGTTTTTTTTTTTTAGGGCCCACCGAATCGCGCTACCCCACGAGTCGCGCCGCCCTGTTACTGCCGCGCTGCCCGGTCCTGCCCTGCGTCGCGCTGCCCGCGCACGCCCTGCCCTGCCCTGCCAGCGCGCAGCTCGCTGCCGCGCCGCCGTCCTGCCCGCTCGCCGCTCACTGCCGCGCGCCCTGCCCTGCCCGCGCGCCGCGCGCCGCCGCGTCGCCCTGCCCGCGCGCCGCTCGCCGCGCCGCGCCGCCCTGCCCGCGCGCCGCTCACTGCCGCGCGCCCTGCCCTGCCCGCGCGCCGCGCGCCGCCGCGTCGCCCTGCCCGCGCGCCGCGCCGCCCTGCCTGCGCGCTGCTCGTCGCCGCGCGCCCTGCCCTGCCCGCGTGCCGCTCACTGCCGCGCGCCCTGCCCTGCCCGCGCGCCGCGTCGCCGTGCCCGTGCGCCGCTCGTCGCGCCGCACCGCCCTGCCCGCGCGCCGCTCGCCACCACGCGCCCTGCCCTGCCCGCGCGCCGCTCGCCGCCGCGCGCCCTGCCCTGCCCGCGCGCCGCTTGCCGCCGCGCGCCCTGCCCTGCCCGCGCGACGCTCGCCGCCGCACCACCCTGCCCTGCCCGCGCGCCGCTCGCCGCCACGCCGCCCTGCCTTGCCCGCGCGCCGCTCGCCGCCGCGCCGCCCTGCCCTGCCCGCGAGCCGCCCTGCTGGCCGCCGCCCAGCCCTGCCCTGCCTGCACGCCGCCCTGCTGGCCGCCGCCCTTCCCTGCCAATTGCGCCGTCCTACTCTGGCCGCGCGCCGCTCTTCCCTGACCGTGCGCCGCCCCGACCTACCCTAGTGCCTGCTCGCCGCCCTGCCTTCCCTGCGTGCTGCCGCGCTGGTCGCACATCTCCTTCCTTTTCCCGCTATGACGTCTCTTCGTGGTAGCGGTGGGAGTGGTGGCGGCGTTGGTGGCAGCAGTGGGAGTGGTGGCAGCAGTGGGAGTGGTGGCAGCAGTGGGAGTGGTGGCGGCGGCCATAGTGGCAGTCTCGGTGGAGCTGTTCGGTGGGGAGTTTCTGGCGGTGGCCAGATGCATCTCCAGCGACGTCCGCGCGAGTCCCTCACGCCCCAGCAGCTTCGTGAGTGGTACGCTAGTTAGAGTAGTGGAGGCGGCCGTCGTGACAGTCGCAGTGGAGCTGCTCAGTCGGGAGTTTCTGGCGGTGACCAGATGCAGCTGCAGCGGCGTCCGCGCGAGACCCTTATGCCCCAGCAGCTTCGTGAGTGGTACGCTCAGAGTAGGGGGTCTCGGAGTACTGCTCGTTGCCCGTACGTCATTCGCACAGGTGATCGGGCTGGTCAGACTTGCGGGACAGTTGGTCACACACAGTCCCGCTGCTTCGCCTGTCTGAGCGACGCCTGGCGTGCAGAGTTTGGCGACGCGGCTGAGCTCCCCCGCTGGCTGGAGCTGCTTAGGCAGAGGGTGGATATCTTTGCTCTTGACTATGATGCTATCCTCACTGCCATGTATGCATTGACTGTTAGTGCTGAGGGTGACTGTTACCTGTGTGTGCCGCCCGACCTAGGTATAGAGGCTGCTGCACTAGGTGCCGTGATCGCCTTCCACCGTTCACTCCCCGTGCCCCACGCTTTCAGCAACGCCTCGTGCGCGAGGAGGGAGGCGTAACCAAGCGGGAAATTCGCCGCGCGTTCCGCCAGCATCCGCCGCTGTGGCATCTCCTCCGTGAGCAGCTGCGCCAGCGAGTGAAGTGCCTCCGCGTCCAACCGGTCCTTCAGGTTTATCACCCTGAGTCCCCCATCCTCCCTTTTGAGTTGCATGAGATCCCCGTTCCAGAGAATGAAGCCAGGCTCTGAGCTCGCCCGTCCCCCGGAGACAAAGGCGTGGCACAATCTCCTCAGCTCCTCCCAGATCGTGTCCGACGGGGGGTAGATTTGCGCCTGGAACAACGCGACGGGCATGACGTAGGCGTTGACCACCGTTACTCGCGCCGTGGTGGTAAGAAATTTATAGCAATGGTTTGTATTAAATCAATATATACATATATGTATATATATAGGTATACATGGCTTCAGCGTTATACGACGCACCTGCTATCTTGCGCAAGGCAGACTATTTATGGAAAGCAGCACATATGGACGACCTATCAAGCGTAAAAAATAGCACATTCGATTATTTATCCAGCTAGTGACCAGCAAGTCGGTTTTGCGCGCATCCATGGCTTTTCAAGTTCGATTCCGGATCTCCGGAGACTTACCCGAACACAGATCCGACGACCATCACAGCAGAAAATTAAACCGTGGCGATTCATCGGTATTGTCCTACGTGGACGTTTCCATCGCGGTTTCTCCAAAGGAGTCTCTCCGATCAGTATTTAACAGACTGTTTCAATCGCATCTGCCAAACTGCTACTTGCCGTGTGATGCACGTCACGTGCAGCAGCAGAGAGCAAACGATGGTGGGGAATCCGCGGAGGAAACTGACGGGGTGAGTGGGATGCAGCCGGTCCGGTTCATGGTGATAGGCCAGGTGGTGTACCTCTCTCCTGACTGCACGGTGGAGCAAGCGAGGCTCAAATCGAGTTCGACAATCAAGGTGTTTCCTGTAAAGATTGTCGTGCATGGTGAAGAGGGAACGATCAACGACGAGGCTGAAGCGCGTGTGAGCGCTCCTGCCGCTGCACCTGCTGCAAACGTGCCTTCGGATGTTGCTGCGACTCCTGCACCTGCTGTTCTCGCTGCTGCTCCCGCTCCCGAGCTTGCTGCTGAGGTGCCTCCCGCTTCTGCTGCTGCACCTACTGATGCAATGCCTCCTGTTGTTGCTACTGCACCTACCGCTGCTGGCGTCACGAGGCCGCGTAGGATCGACTACAGCAAGTGGGACCCCATCGGCTCCGGCAGCGACGAAGACGAGGAGGGCGAGGAGCACACGGCGTCACTGAATGGACACGCATTGGGGATAGGTGGCGGGAGAGGAAAGATGGGCTTGTCGGAAGCCCAGAATCCCGTCAGAACCTGCAATGCTGCCCTTTCGGAACTCAACGAGGCGATTTGGCTTGATCATCACGAGTCGGTGAAAAGATGGAATGTTCAGCAAGAGGCGGTTGGGGCCGGAAAGGCATGTGCGCGGAAGGCCGGGGTGTCAGGGGGAGTGGGAGGTCAGGAAATGCCGAGGAAGCTTCAGCTGCTCTGTCGGGCGGACATGGTTCACTACTTGGACGAGAGAGGCGGGTGGGATGTGGCTGAATGCGGGCGGTGCTTTCACCACGCTATGAGCCTCCGAGCAGAGCGTGCTGTCGAGCGTGCTCTCACCATGGAGAGCCTTGACTTCGTTCGATCCCTCCTGCACAACCAGCAGCCTGGCGCCACCCCTCTTGAACGCCCAAACAGAGCCAGCAGGGGTGTGCTGGAGTACTCTGCGCGAGTACCGGCGTTTGGGAAGCAAGGAGAGCTGGCACCGGCGCCTCACGTGCAGTTCGCGTGCAAGAGTGCTCTTGCGCCGTTCCTCTGTGTGGAAGCGATGCTGCTCGAGTAGATGGCTGAGCCTCGTGTGGGCGTGCTTATGGACTTAGGAAAAATCAGATCCCGCCTGCCTGCTATTCTGTCTAATGCGACATCTGCTGTAGCTGTTGCTTCCTCTTCTCCGGCTCCTGCTGCTTCGTCAGCGTGGTCCTGCTGCTGGCGCTGCAGCAGCTGCTGGGCTGCCTACCGCCGTGCTGTCAGCTTCGTTGCCTTCCTCGTGCTTGTGGCGAGGTGGCCCCGGTTCGACACCATGTGGAAAGCCCACGTGGATACATACAACGCGGTTTACCCAGCCTTATTGGCGGAGCTGGGGGCGGGCCGGCAGGTGGAGAACGACTGCTGTGCGTCCATGCTGGTGCAGGTGCTGGGGGTGAAGGAGAGTGGTGACCTGCAGGAAGGGTTTGGATTCTTTGTGCGGCATCTGCTCTCATACGGCCTCGAGAATGCGCATGCGGAGGGGAGGCGGGGAGCCGGGGAGAAGGATTCGGCGCGTGTGGGGCACGGGCAGCGATGGCCGTGGCACGGAGGATGCGGAGGCGGCCGGCCGACTGGGGGGGGGGGAGTATGGATGAGTCTGGAGTGAACCTGGGCAAAGGTGAACTGGTGAGGTGTGTGAATCTGCCATCTCACGCTGGTGATGATGGGGGGAGTGGAAGAGAAGGTACAGGTGGTAGTAGAGGGGTGGAGAGGGGTGGCTGTAGGGATGGAAGGAATGGAAAGGATGAGGAGTGGAGGGGGCATCTGAAGGGGCGTGTGTGGGAGAGGTATGTGGATGGCATGGCTTGGATTTTGGAGCATGGAGGTGGTTCAGGTGCAGCCACTGTAGTGAGGGGGGCAGCAGCAGCAGCAGTGTCAGTAGCAGCAGCAGCGGCGGCGGCGGCGGCGGCAGTGGCAGCAGCAGCAGCAGCTGCTGCGGCGGTGGCAGCAGAAGCGGCAGCAGCTGCGGCGGTGGCAGCAGCAGCAGCAGCAGCAGCAGTAGCAGTCTTGGAAGCAAGGATATTCCCAAAGGCATGTATGTGAGTGGCGTGGGTGCCACTGACCTCGCCCTGGCATTCGCCTCGGTGTTCTCCCGGCCAGAGCACCGCAAGCTGGTAGCGATGTTCTTCGTGGGGTCAAGGAGCACACCCACCGGCAGCATGGAGGATGCAGCCATTGAGGCGGTTAGTGAGAGGCTCAGACAGGCGGGTCTGGCAAGAGGGGTGAGCGAGGGAAGGGCAACTGGAGGAGGAGGACTGGAGTTAGCAGCATCAGCTGCTCCAACAACACGGCCACCTGCTCCGAGTGCTGCTACTGTCTCACCCCGAGCTGGATCGTCTCTTTGCAGTAGCGGATCCACCGGCAACAGTGGGATGCTCAATCCTAGCCTCGTGCCCAGTCCTGTTGTCAACAGAAATGCGATGCTCAGCAGCCGTCCTTCTGGCCTCGTGCCTGTAAACACAGACCCCGCTCTTGGTCTCCTCACGTATCGGGTTGCTTGCATCTTGCAGTGGCTCCGGATCTACGGCTCAGATTTCATCTCCGCAAAGACGTGCTTCAAGGACAACCCACAGGGAAGGGTCATGCCCATGCGCCACCCGGTTCAGGATCTTCCGAACCTGTTGGCCAGGTTTGGCACTGTTCCCCAACCTACTGTCAAAAGCAGCTGCTTTCCTGAATGGGAGGAGTGGCCCCAGGGGGACGAAGCTACTATAAAGTTTCCTGATGACCCAAGCGCCAGATGTTTCTGGCTGGGCAGGGCGGATGACAGGCAGGGTCTCAGGGACAAAGGCCAGGTGGCAGCGCAGCAGGGAAGAACCCGGAAAGCGCGGAAAGCTCCCAGCAAAGAATTGCTTCCTCCTCCTCGGAGCGAGATGCGTCCCATCGTCCGTTGCAGGGCAGATGCGGACTTGATAGTTGAGTTTGCCGGTATGCTCTTCGAGCCACCGGTGTGCGCCCACTGCAGCGCATGCATCGCCTCGTACACTCTCCTAGTCCCCTTTGTCACTCTCGTTGCCAACTTTGCCTATCGCCCCGCCTCCGTCCTTATTGACCACTTCGTCTCTGTCTTCCCGCCCCACACCGCTGAGTTTCACGAGGTTGTGAACCGCTTGACGCTGGATGGTCGCACACCGCGTTGCAGCCTGCACGCGCTGCGGGAACGGGTAGAGCAGGTTCCGATCGCCTTCCTGCTCTCCCTTGCCCTTATCTTCCCTAGAGAGCTCTTGCAGCAGAGTGGGATTCAAGGCGAGCTGAACTCGTGGGCTGCTGGAAGAAGCTACGGGGCGAAAGGGAAGGCTGGCAGGAGGAGGGCGGGGAGTGGGGACTGTGTGGACGGTGGGGAAACAGGGGGAGGTGGGCTTGGTGATGGTGATTGCGGAGGTGTGTGGGAGGAGGTGCAGTCGTGGTTCGTGGTCGCAATGCTACCGGCTGGTGCCATGGAGGGGGGCGGGCCCGGCTGCAGCGGCAGCCAGTCAATAAAGCGTGCTACAATGGCACACAAGAGATTGGTTGCGGAGATGTATGACTGCTCTCTGCTGCCCAGGTTCTGTGAAGACTTGAAGCACACGGGTGGGCGTGGCAGTGCCTGTGGCAGCAGCGACAGCAAACTGAAGGGCAAGAAGGCGGAGGAGGCGGCTTATCTGAAGGCATGGCCGGGGGGATTCAATCCGGTGGCTTGTCTGCGAGAGATGCTGCTGGGGGAGCCTTGCTACCACCCGGCCTCCGATGCTGCTCGCTCCACCTCGGCTGCTGTAAGAACCCGTGTTGCATCGTCAACTGCTGAATCAGGATACTCAGCTACTGCTGCAGCTTCTTTTGACGATCCAACCATTATCGCTGCACTGAGCATAGCTGCAGCAGACGTTTCAACAGCGAGCGTTACTTCAAATGTTGGAGCCTCTGGTGGTGCTGCTTGTGCGGGGCGCGTGTGTGGTACAACTGCCACCCAAGGCTCTGCTTCTGCAGCTTGTGGAGAGCGTGTGTGCGGTGCAACTGCCACACAACGCTCTGGTCCTGCGCCTAGTAGGGGGCGTGTGTGCGGTGCTGCAGGGTGTGAGAGGGTGGAGTGTGGTGGTGTGAAGCTGAGGAGTTGCGGGGGGTGTGGCAAGGTGGCGTATTGCAGCAGAGACTGCCAAAAGGCGCACTGGCCCTCCCACAAACCCACATGCCCTGGGAGGACCGACGGGAAGAGAAGAGGGAAAAACAGTGCCAAGGTGAGTGGCAGGAAGAAGGTGAAGGTGAAGGGAAGTGGTACTGAATTGAGTGAAAATGAGTTCTATGATTTTTTGCGATGTGTCCTGCCTTGAGGGCGTGGTTTACACTTAGCCTGGGTATCCTGCTTGAGCCTGTTTGCCAAGTTGGTGGGGCTGCAGGGTACAGTGGGCGGATTGCAATTTGATACGTTAGTGGGATTGGAAGGCATGGGGATGAGGGGAGTGTTACTGAGGGAGCAGGATGGGGATGGAGGGGGGAGGGGGGGGGGGGGGGGGGGGGAAGGGGCGGATCTAGATTGCCCTTGGAGGGTGGCATTGAAATTTCCCAATTTTGCAGAGCCGAAGTTCCCAGCCAAGGTCGAAATGAACGCCAAGGTTCGGATTCAGCAGCAGTGAACGTGCTGGTAAGATCATTGGTATGTGTAACTGCTGCTCTTCTAACGGTTTAGATACTGGCTCACATGTCTCCTTCTAGCTGCTCGGCTGATGCATCTGAGTCTTGGCAATGACATGGATGGCTACTGATGGAATCATCCTCTCTGTCCTTTTGCTAAGGCCGTTTTTAGTGTGTAAGATGTGATATGTGTCTTCTATCTTCCTCCCCACCCACCATCCCTCCCCCATCCCCCCTCCTCCTCCCCCCCCCCAGCCCCAACTCGTCTTACCCACTGACGCACCGTGTTCCTCTCCCCTTACATTCTCACCACTTCACCTGTTTTGCACTCATGCACTTACCCCATCACTCACTCGATACTTGCTCCGGACAGGCCTGAAGCACTCGTGTGCAGTTATGTGATCGTGCAAGACTTTCAGTCGCTCGTGACAACTTGCTTGGAGCGATGCCCATGACCATTGATGTCCGCTGCTGGATGGTGTTGTGTTTTGGACTTGAGACGCAATGATTGTTTTGCCACCAACATCAGGCTTAGCCCGACCGAGTCATTATCGCTCTCGTTTTGGTTCTCATAAGGCCGATAAGGTTAGGGAGGGTAAAACAAACATATTGAGAAAGCTTGCTTTCCAATTCCTATCAATTGGCATCGTTCTTATTACCGTACAACTATTACCGTCATCACCCGGATATACCCCCAGGTGGGGGTGTAAAAAAACCTGGAAAAATGGTGGGTGGGCTTATAATGTGGTAAATTTTATAACCCCATGGGCTAATTAAATGACACTTATGGAAAATTGATTTTATAACACTGGAATGTAGATTTCACCCTGACGATTTAAATCGATGCTAACACAAAGAGGATCGCTGCTGAAAAGTTCCGAGAATGTGTCGTACAGTCAAGAATCCCAGTCAGCACCTGCTCAAATGTTGCAGATTTCGCGCACGTGCACCTCCTGTGGCAATTTTGCCAAGCGAGGCAGGGGGGGTTTCGTCAGGCACGTCTGTGACGATTCGTTTAGGTGCGTTAGTGGCGATTTCGCTACAAAAAAAACCAGAATTCATTGGGTGCGCTTATACGAAGATTGACAGAAATTGGGGTGGGCTTATAATCGGCAACCGGCTATAAGCCAACTAGTACGATTATAACCGCATGGGTGTAACATAGGCTTGGGGGTATATCCGGGTGATGACGGTACAACATTCGCATCAAATGTGAACACTAGCTAGTGCATGCTCATACGGTACCGTATTCTCCAGGACAAAACACCCCCCGAAATTGTACACCCCCCGAGTAGCTTGTGCGGGGTGGGTGCTATAGGCAACCTCGTTTGTACTATACCCCCCTTTTTGGGTGACTTTCTATAGCACCCCCCTTTGCTGCGATCAGAAGTTGATCGTCCCTAGGATCACCTCAGGAAGGATCGCATACAACTGATTAGGTAGTGGTGGGCCCTGACCTCAAAAGCAGAGTGAATGTAAAATGCTCGAGATAATAAAAACATGCAAATACAGGAATCAGGGCTAATTTTTTGTTTTAAGCAACCCTTATCATCAGTCCTGCACCTTTGCAAAACCCTGATTATCAGTGTGACCCCTTGGGAAAATTCTTTTCCATCAGGGTTTTCCATAGTTTCAAAAAAATTACCCTTAGGCCACAGTGTAACAATTTTCAGAACCCTGATGAAGTGTTTCTACTGAAGTTCTGAACAAAATGACTAGGCAGGATTAGATCCCGGTTCTTCATTCTTCCGAAACCAATGTAAATAACTGGACTACTTCAACTTGAATTGTAATAACAATATTTTCTATGGCATATTTTTGTTTGAGGGGACAGAGAAGCGAGGGCAATTTGGGTGATATTCGCTTCAGGGTAAAACTCGCTAAGAAGAACAGTAACCCTGGGGCGACAGTGTGCCTTAAACGTAAACCTTGGCATATCAGGAAAATCTAAGCTCCAGAAAAATTTACCTTAAGGCATCATTGTGACTACCAAAAACCACCCTAATTATCGGTGTATCAGAGTGATTTACACTGATAAAATTAGCCTTCACAGGAATATAAATAAGAGTACAGTGGTACGAAACAACCTAGCTAGCCATGTACTCTAAGGGGTACATTCCTTTATTACAGCGAAATCCAATCGTGCGACTCAAGACGGTTACGAACTGCCTGGGCAGAATCCTCGCCACTGCTGCTGCCTGATGCTGTCTGCCCGACGGTCCAGATGCTTCGTAATCGTACGACCCTTCGCGTTACCTCCGCCCTTTCATCTTAAGCCTCGGTAGTGCTTGCTTCGATGCTGCGGTAAGGAGTGCACAGTAATGTATCATATTTTTTCTATTCGTAACACCCCCCTTCACTCCTGGCCGTAGCAGGTCTTGACCCGCTTGACTACTCCGCTCAGTTCGGAGCAGAGCTGGTACTGCAGGCATGGCAACTTCTTCGTGAGGAAATCGGCTGCCATGTCACCCGTCGGGCAGTAGGTTAGGTCAACCTTGCCCTTGTCAACTTCGTCCTTGACAAAGAAGTACCGCAACGCGATGTGCTTGGTGCGGTTGACAAATCCAGGCTTGTTCGCGATCCTGATCGCGCTCTGGTTGTCGCAGTGCAGGCGGAAGTTCGGCGAAGCTGGAATTTTCGCCTCTTGCAGCAGCTCCTGAAGGTAGGGGCCTTCGCGAACAGCTGCTGTTGCTGCGATGAACTCGGCTTCTGCTGATGACTGAGCAACCAGCTCTGCGAATTTCAGGAGATGGGGCCACAGGGCTCGAGGCGGAAGAGTAAGCCGGTCCTGGACCGTCGATTGTCGGGGTCAGCGGCATGGTCAGCGTCCACGTAGCCCACGAGAGATCTGGCCTGCAGGTAACAGAGGCGAAGAGCAGGCATCCCAGCTGCTGCTGGTAAGTCTGAAGCCCAGCGGGGGACAGGGCTTTGTTGTCAGGCTTGTGGATGGATCCTGGAGTGCGGTAAGGGGTGGAGAGCGGTGCTGGTGCGATGTTGAAGCGTTTGCCAAGTTCTTCTGCATACTTGGCTCCTGAGAGATGAATGGCTTCTGGCGAGTGAGTGATGTTGAGGCCGAGAAACTACTTCACGTCGTGATTGCAGGTGATGTGGACGCGCCCCGCGAGGTTCTTCTCCAATTGCTCAAGCAACACGTTGCTTGACCCTGAGTAGAGGAGGTCGTCGACGTAGACCGTGAGCAGAATGTACTCGCCGCGGAAGTCGCAGCGGTACATCCCTGGATCGTGAGGCAGCTGCTTGAAGCCAATTTCAAGCAGGATGTTGTGCACGTACTGCTGCCAGAGCCTCGGCGCCTGTTTGATCCCATAAAGGGATTTTCGCTGCTGTACCATTCGTATGGGCAAGTAACGCACTTATTCTTAGTACCGACCGTATGAGTAAGTAACGCATTTAGTCTTGGTATCATCCGTATGGGTAAGTAACGCATGTACTTTTAGTACCATCAGTATGAGTAAGTAACGCACTAACGCTTAGTACCGACCGTATGGGTGAGTAGCGCACTTACTCTTAGTAACGCTCGTATGGGTAAGCAACGCACATACTCTTAGTACCATCCGTACGGATAGGTAACGTACATAATCTTGGTACCATCCGTATGGGTAAGTAACGCACATACTCTTAGTACCATCCGTATGGGTAAGTAACGCACGTTTTCGTAGTACCATCTGTATGGGTAAGTAACGAACTTACTCTTAGAACCGACCGTATAGGAAAGTAACTCACCTACTCTTGGTACCATCCGTATGGGTAAGTAACGCACTTACTCTTGGTATCGACCATATGGGTAAGTAACGCATTTACTCCTAGTACCATCCGTATGGGTAAGCAACGCACTTACTCTTGGTACCATCCGTATGGGTAAGCAAACGCACTTACTCTTAGTACCATCCATATAGGTTAGTAACGCACATACTCTTCATACCATACATATAAATAAGAAACTCACTTACTCCTAGTACCGTCCGAATGGGTAAGTAACGCACTTACTCTTAGTACCGACCGTGAGTAAGTAACGCACTTACTCCTAGTACCATCCGTATGGGTAAGTAACGAACATACTCCTATACCATCCGTATCGGTCGGTAATGCTCATATTCTTGGTACCATACGTATGGGTAAGTTTCGAACTTAGTCTTTGCACTGACCGTATGGGTAAGTAACGCACTTACTCTTGGTACAATCCGTATGGGTAAGTAACACACTTACTCTTAGTACCATCCGTATGGGAATGTAACGCACATACTTTTGGTACCATCCGCATGGGTAAGAAACGCACTTAGTATTAGCACCGACCATATGGGTAAGTAACGCACATACTCTTAATAGCATACGTATGGGTAAGAATCGCACTTAGTCCTAATACCGACCGTATGGGTAAGTAACGCACTTACTCTTAGTACCATCCGTGTGGGTAGTACTTACTCTTGGTACCATCCGTATAGGTAAGTAATGCACCTACTTCTAGTACCATCCGTATGGGTAAGTAACGCACTTACTCTTTGTACCGACCGTATGGGTAAGTAACGCACTTACTCTTGGTACCATCCGTATGGGTAAGTAACGCACTTACTCCTGGTACCATCCGTATGGGTAAGTAACGCAATTACTCTTAATACCATCCGTATGGGTAAGTAACGCACGTACTGCTAGTACTGACCGTATAGTTAAGTAACGCACTTACTCTTGGTACCATCCGTATTAGTAGGCAACACACTTATTCTTAGTACCGTATGGGTAAGTAACTCACTTACTCTTAGTACCGCCCCTATGGGTAAGTAACGCACTTCTTCTTAGTACCATCCATACGGGGAAGTAACGCAGTTACTCTTTGTACCATCCATATGGGTAAGTAACGCACTTACTCCTAGTGCCGACCGTATAGGTAAGTAACGCATTTACTCTTGGCACCACACGTATGAGTATGAAACACACCCACTCTTGGTTCCGACCGTAGTAACGCACTTACTCTTTGTACCGACCTAAGTGACGCAGTTTCTCTTGGTACCATCCGTATGAGTAAGAAAACCCACGTACTCTTGGTATCTTCCGAATAGGTAAATAACGCAGTTCCTCTTAGTACCGGCCGTATGGGTAAGTTCGCACCCAATCTTAGTACTGACCATAAAGATAAGTAACGCACTTACTCATAGTACCATCCATATAGATAAGTAATGCACATACTCTTGGTACCATACGTATGGGTAAGCAACGTACTTAGTACCGACCGTATAGGAAAGTAACGCGCATACTCTTAGTACCGACCTTAAGGTAAGTGACGCACTTACTCTTGGTACCATCCGTATGGGTAAGTTACGCACTTCCTCTTTGTACCATCCATATAGGTAAATAACGCATTTCTTCTTAGTACCGACCGTATGGGTAAG